GGGGGACCCCAAAATTGGGGGATTTGAGCCCAAAATTGGGGGAAATGAGGCCAAAATTGGGGGAAATGAGGCCAAAATTGGGGGATTTGAACCCAAAATTGGGGGAAATGAGACCAAAATTGGGGGATTTGAGCCCAAAATTGGGGGAAATGAGCCCAAAATTGGGGGAAATGAGAACAAAAATGGGGGATCTGAGCCCAAAATTGGGGGATCTGAGACCAAAATTGGGGGTTCAGAGCCCCAAAATTGGGGGATTTGAACCCAAAATTGGGGGAAATGACAACAAAATTGGGGGATTTGAACCCAAAACTGGGGGATCTGAGCCCAAAATTGGGGGAAATGAGCCCAAAATTGGGGGAAATGAGAACAAAAATGGGGGATCTGAGCCCAAAATTGGGGGATTTGAACCCAAAATTGAGGAAATGAGCCCAAAAATGGGGGATTTGAACCCAAAATTGAGGAATTGAACCCATAAATGGGGGATCTGAGCCCAAAATTGGGGGAAATGAGAACAAAATTGGGGGAAATGAGAACAAAAATGGGGGAATTGAACCCAAAATTGGGGGAAATGAGACCAAAATTGGGGGATTTGAACCCAAAATTGGGGGATCTGTGACCAAAATTGGGGTAAATTAGACCAAAAATGGGGGAATTGAACACAAAATTGGGGGATCTGAACCCAAAATTGGGGGAAATGAGCCCAAAAATGGGGGATCTGAGACCAAAATTGGGGGAATTGAGCCCAAAATTGGGGGAAATGAGACCAAAATTGGGGGATCTGAGCCCAAAATGGGGGAATTGAACCCAAAAATGGGGGATCTGAGACCAAAATTGGGGGAAATGAGAACAAAAATGGGGGAATTGAACCCAAAATTGGGGGATCTGAGCCCAAAAATGGGGATCTGAACCCAAAAATGGGGGATCTGAGCCCAAAATTGGGGGAAATGAGAACAAAAATGGGGGATCTGAGACCAAAATTGGGGGAAATGAGCCCAAAATTGGGGGAAATGAGAACAAAAATGGGAGAATTGAACCCAAAACTGGGGGATCTGAGCCCAAAATTGGGGTCCTGATCCCAAAAATGGAGATTTTCATCCATTTTGGGCACGTTTGGACCCATTTCAAAGACCCCAGCCCCAAATTTGGGATTCCCAGCCCCATTTTTGGGGTTCCAGACCCAAATTTGAGATTTCCAGCCCCATTTTTGGGGTCCCAGACTGGAATTTGGGGTTCCCAGCCCCATTTTTGGGGTCCCAGAACCATTTTTTGGGGTTCCCTGCCCCATTTCTGGGGTTCCCAGCCCCATTTTTGGGGATCCCAGACCCATTTTGGGGGTTCCCAGCCCCATTTTTGGGGTCCCAGACCGAAATTTGGGTTTCCCTGCCCCATTTTTGGGGTCTCAGAACCATTTCTGGGGTTCCTGGCCCCATTTCCGGGGTTCCCAGCCCCATTTTTAGGGGTGCCAGCCCCATGTTTGGGGTCCCAGACCCAAATTCAGGTTTCCCAGCCCCATTTTTTGGGGGTCCCCTCCCCATTTTGGGGGGTTCCTTTCCCATTTTTGGGGTCCCAGACCCATTTTTGGGGTCCCAGACCCATTTTTGGGTTTCCCTCCCCATTTCTGGGATTCCCAGCCCATTTTTGGGGGTTCCCTCTCCATTTTTGGGGTCCCAGCCCCATTTTTGGGGTCCCAGCCCCATTTTGGGGGTCCCAGCCCCATTTTTTGGGAGTCCCAGCCCCATTTTTGGGGTCCCAGACCCAAATTTGGGATTCCTAACCCCATTTCTGGGGTCCCAGCCCCATTTTTGGGGAGCCCCAGACCCATTTTTGGGGTCCAAGCCCCATTTTTGGGAGTCCAAGCCCCATTTTTGGGGTCCCAGACCCAAATTTGGGATTCCTAACCCCATTTTTGGGGTCCCAGCCCCACTTTTGGGATTCCTAACCCCATTTTTGGGGTCCCAACCCCATTTTTTGGGGTTCCCACCTGCATCTGGGCGCTGCTGAAGGGGCCGTAGAGTTGGGTGCTCTCCTCCCATTTGTACTCCCACATCACTTCTGGGGGGGGGAATGGCATTAAGACCCCAAAAATCCCCCCAATGACCCCAAAACAAAACCCCCAAACTCCCCCCCCAAAAAACCACCCCAAAACGACCCCATAAGACCCCCCAAAACGATCCCAAAAACCCCAAAAACGACCCCAGAAAGAAACTCCCAAAAGACCCCAAAAATGACCCCAAAATGAATCCCCAAGACCCCAAATATCCCCAAAAGGAAACCCCAAAAGACCCCAAAACGACCCCAAGAGGAAACCCCCAAAAATGACTCTAAAATGAACCCCCAAAAGACCCCAAAAAGATCCCAAAAAAGAACCCCCAAAACGACCCCAAAAACGACCCCAAGAGGAAGCCCCCAAAAGACTCCAAAAAGAACCCCAAAGCTGCCCCAAGACCCCCAAGAAAGAACCCCAAAAACCCCCCAAAAGACCCCAAAAAGAACCCTGAGTGACCCCAAAAATGACCCCC